AAAAAAAAAAAAAAGAATGCACAAAGCTAGGCTAAATGTTATCTTGAAGATTCAGGACCACAGGGTTACCATTATGAATACCATACCACCCTATTTCAAAATATGTAAATGACTGTGGAGCTGGCCATTAACACAGTAACAGAAGCCAACAGCCTGACATTTCTCAAAAGCACTGAGGGGATTATTGAAGGCACCTTCCTAAAAAATGCAGGCATAAACAATCATATATAAAACATGACCAATGCTGGTGAATGACACACTAAAAACTGGGAATATGAATTGGGCTATGATAATAATTCAAACTGAGTATAGTCTGAGCTCAGTTTGGGCCTTTATTTACCCAATGATTTGACTTTAGATAGATGAGACATTCTTATTGGTTAATGATTTTAAACTTGTAGAAGTATTTATGGTTTATCTTATCTGTCATAGGGACATTGTAAGGTCCAGTTGGTGGAGTTGTATGTGGTACCACAGAATGCAAGATGGGGGAAACCAGTGTAGGATATTGAATCTCTTTAAGCAATTTGGATTTCAAATTAAGAACCACTAATCCACAATTTCCTGTTTTCTGCTAATTTCAGTAGGAAAACATTCTGTGGTTTTCTGAGAGTGGCTGACAATGACCTGCAGTGGTACTGGGTAATAGAGACTGTAACATAAAAATGCAGCCAGAGGCCAGGTGCTGTGGCTCATGCCTGTAATCCCAGCACTTTGGGAAGCCGAAGCGGCAGATCACCTGAGGTCAGGAGTTCAAGACCAGCTGGGCCAACATGGTGAAACCCTGTCTCTACCAAAAATACAAAAATGAGCCGAGCGTGGTGGTGGATGCCTGTAATCCCAGCTACTCAGGAGGCTGAGGCAGGAGAATCACTTGAACCCAAAAGGTGGAGATTGCAGTGAGCCGAGATCATGCCATAGCACTCCAGCCTGGGTGACAAGAGTGAAACTCTGTCTCAAAAAAAAAAAAAATGCAGCCAGAGAATCTGCTCGTGTCTTCTTTGTCAGAGACAGGGATTTTTGCTTTGGGTTCTAACTGATATAATCTGGTTCTTATCTCCTGATAAAGTGTCAAGCCAGCAAACCTGAAGTGGTGCTTCCTGGTCTTCCTGATCTGGCCATCCCTTCTTCTCTTCAGTCTCCTTTTGCTGTTGCCCATCTTCAGGTTTCAATAACTCTTCTGCTTCCAATAACTCAGCTTCTTTCTTTTCCACGTCATTTGATTTCTTAATGACCCTGAGAGTATTTAAATAATTCTTAGTATCTGTCTTGATTGCTACCATACTCGGCTTGCGGTCCTATGTGAGTTTTTATAGTGAAACTTCCTGTGTATAGTAATACAATTTATATTTATACCATAGTCACTACATCTTCTATGTTGTTACTATATAGGAATCACACAGTTCCACCCTTTTTTAAAAGAGAAAAACCAGTCCTCGGGAGCAGAAAAATATTTCAATCAAGTAATAGATTACTTTGCTTATTAAAAAACTTAACTGTCTTTGAGATGTGACATCCCCTAAAAGGCCTTATTTACACATGCTCACACCCAATCTCTGTGGGGATTGTAGAGATAACTTAGAGGAGAGTCTGGTGGTTCCCTAGTATTCAGCATTTTCAAAGGCTACATTAGCTCTGTTTATATGAAGTAAGTAATAATACTCTTCAAGTTATAGTTTTTTGCTATTCATAATACTTCTTTTTCCCAAGCCCATATAAGCATATGGAAAATATGTATTTATTTCAAATAACACTAAATACTTAAAAGCAAAGTCAGTACTGTTGTTATTCCCTGCAGTCAGTGGACAGAGGTTTACATTATAAGGGCTCACATAAAACAGGCCTCAAGATGGAAGGGCAAGAAACCTTTGCTAGAATTTGAAAGCACACAACTGTACATGAGATTTCCTGCCCACAAAGGAAATCCTAGCAATGACTCACCGGTCTGATGAGATACAGGTGTCACAAAGATCCCTGGAAAACACCCAAAGTAAAACATGAGTAAGTGTAATTTTCAGGTTTAAAAATCCTGAGGTTAAAAGTCCTTTAAAAAAAAGAAAAGGGCTGACACTAGTGAACACAAAGAAAAATATTCTTATATATCATTCTGGTGCTGAGAGATCAAATCCCGAATGTGAGTTTGATCTCTGTGCATCCTCCTACCACACCTTAATGGCACGTGATGCATGGAGGCCAAAAAGGACTGTGCCTTTTATCCACACACAAGGGTCCTTAGCCATTTACAAGGGCTTGAAATGCTTCATATACAAGCAATGAGGCACTTCTGATCCTCATTGAAGAGTCAGTTGCTCTTTGAGAATTTATAACTTGAGGGTAAAATTTTGATTTTCAAAAATGTGGGCCCCACTCAAGATTTATAGTATAAGAAGGAAGACTTCGTGCTGACCTTTGCTTCATCTCTTCCTGTCGTTTTTCTTCTTCCTGTCTTGATCTTATTCGATGAGCAATGCGACGTAATTTGGCAAAAATTTTTTTTGTCTCCCTGTCATTCGTAAACCCTGCAGTGTTCTTATTACCAGACTCTAGTTTAAATAAATATGTGCAACAGTTAGTTTACGGAGCTAGTCGTCTCTTAGTCCAACAAAGAAGTGCAACACAATCCAAAACATTAAAAAACAAAACAGGTGTATAGTCCAAAATTTATAAATCACAAGCAAACTATAGGTGCTTAACGGATTTCGTTCAAACTGTACCCCAACAAAAGCAGTAACATTTTCTTTTTAACACCTACTTGCTCCAAAATGAAACAATGTACTTCTACTTTTGTTTTAGCTGTTCTGAAATAACTGAATCAACTGACCTCATGGGAAAAGAGTAAGAAATACTGAACACAGAGGAAAACAAGGTATGCTCAGTCTAAATGAATGGTACGTGTATCTCAAATAAGCAAAAATACATCTGGCATACGTTTTGAGATTTGTGCATCATTTTTACTATATAATTACTATTTAGCTAAACCTTGATAATAGCGTATATATGTGGTTGATCATAGAGTAGCTAGCAGTAGATAACAAAACCAAGACTATCAGTAAAATAAGGTGAGTACACGGAGACATATTATAATATTTTGGTCTACATAACTAATTTATTTTAAATAAATCACATACGAAAATGAGAAGACACATCAGGAATGAATAATCTATAATTAAAAGATTGTTTCTGATACAAGAAATTCACTGTGGAGCTCCCTAAAAAAGCAAAATTCCCCAGTGTGTTTTTGAAATTAAGTAATGTCCATTGGTATTAAGAATGCATGTGATGGGCAAATATGGCAATATGACATTTTCAGGAATACTACACAAATCAAGGGAAACCACATTATGGCCTATATATAGAAACGAACCTAAATCTTGGGAGAAACCTGATCATCCACGAGTGGAAATGCTCTCTCCAAGAACCATCACTATCAGAGCTAGAAGGGACCTTAGCAGTCACCTAGACCAAACTTCTCATCTGACCTGTGCTTTTTTTTTTTTTTGATACAGGGTCTTGCTCTCTCATCCAGACTGGAGTGTAGAGGCACCATCACGGCTCACTGCAGCCTCCACCTCGTGGTCTCAGGTGATCCTCCCACCTCAGCCTTCTTACTAGCTGAGACTACAGCTGCATACCACCTAAAGCTAGGTAGTTATGGTATAATATGGCTTATTCTTATCCTCAACCCCCTAAAAGAATATATAGCCTACTCTTTCCACATCAGGCTAATATTTGTATTTTTTGTAGAAAAGGGGATCTCTCTTCAATGTTGCCTGGGCTGGTCTCAAATTCCTGGGCTCAAGCAATCCTCTCACCTCCTCAGCCTCCCAAAGTGCTGGGATTACAGGTGTTAGCTACCATGCCTGGCCAGACCTATGCTTTTAAAAGCAGTTCCAAAAATGTTTCTCAAAACAAAGGGGTGAGAAGAAAGCTTTGGTAAGGACAAGCAAACAGAGAAGATACATTCCAATGTAACAGAGATTGGTTAGACTCTCTTTTTCTATAAGGAAAATAATTCCCTAAAGTTCTCTCAATTGGGGAATAAAATGAAGTGAAACTTTCCCAGAATACAGTTAAGATTTTCTGTGTTGCTAAGATAAACTTAGTGAAAGAACTTACGTGACTCTTTCTTATTTTTATCAGCGCTTGATTCGCTTTGCACAGATTGGGCACATTGAAGAGGCATTTTACAGAAAAGGGAAGGGTCTGCTGATTGTTCTGACTGTTTCAGCAGAGGTGATGAAAGCTGGTTCTTTTGGATTTGACTCCTGAGAAAAAGTAATACGTGTTTGCTAATTAATTTTTGGTGTACAATTTTATAAAATATGAGATGATATTATGAAACAATATTATAATCTTGGCATTTTTCTGAAAAGTAAATCCCTTTTTACAGGCTTTTCCCTTTACATTTGTGTTACCATGCACACTCTATTATTTCACTCATCAGACATTGACACGAAATTTGTTCTGGTAAAATACCTATCAGGAACAGTTGCAAATAAGCTGCTTACTTAGAACTGACAGGAGATGGCAGAGTACAAACATTCGCAGGAGAAAACGACCGTGTATAACATTCACCGTATGACAGATGTTTCTTGGCAACAGGGTCTAAGGCCTGTTGGTCTGTTTTTGATTTCTGAACAGATAAACACAATAAGATAAGTTACTAGCAATTCTCTTACTGCAGCTGGCTTTTTTTTTTTTTTTTTTTTTTTTTTTT